GGCGGATTTTATGTTAACTAGGAGAAAAAACGATTGTTTCCCGTAGCCCTTGTTTCCCCTCGTCGTAGAGATTCGTTTTTANGGAGGCTCTTCTCCTGAGCTTCTGGACCGCACTGAGCGAATCGGTACATAACAAAAAAGAGTTGTTGTTTTTATTTTTTATCGTGCTCAGTGCGAGGGATATGGCGTTTAGTTCCGCCGTGTACACACTTGCGGCAGGAGGGAGCGATAATTGTTTAAATTCTCCCTCCGTGTGCGCGGCACACCCCACGCCCTCTGACTTCTTGTATCCAGCAGGTCGATAATCTAGTTCATCGAAATAACTGATATTCACCAATTCCAATTAACCGAAATTAAACATAATTTGTATATTATTTATTGTTAGGGCGCAATTTAGAAACAGACTGTTCAAAATACCCAAACTTCGGAGACTGGACGGTAAGTCTGGGGTCTGTCCCCAGACTGCTAACACCCGACGTGGGTGATTCTTGGGACCTGCCGGAAATTTATTGTAAATTATAAAAGCTGCAAGTGATAGCCTAAGGTGAGAGAAGTGATAGCTCAACTTTGCACATGTGTGTATATGTACATACATGTACAGATTTGAGCATATATAAACCCAAATCAAACACTTCAGTGTGGATGTTTAGGAAACATCTTTTTTTAGTATTTGAATAATTTTATTAGAGTTTAGAAATAATACACATCCTACCCAGCGATCCCTATTTTTGTTTTTTGTTTTTTCGTGCTGAGTAGACGAACATTGTCTGTTTAATGAATTCTCTTTACGATTAATTTACTCATTAAAAACTATAAATCCATTTAACTATTTCTTTGGCGTAATATACTAAAAACACAAATGGATCGAGGACAATTAATGTTTAACTTTTAATTCAATTCTTGGAAGAATTAAAAACTGACATAGAAAGAATCGTAACTTGACACTTATGGAAATTAAAGAGTCAAGATGTCCAGAATAAATACGAGAATGTAAGCGCAAAATTGAGATACTTGGAAATAGATAATAAAAAGCGAAATTTAATAATATTTGGGGTGCAGGATGAATTCAGTGATTATTGGAAACAAGAAGCCTTTGTTCGTGACTTTGTAAATAAGAAGGTGGAGTTAAACCTAAAACTCTCCAATTACGATTTTGTGAGAAGAATTGGTAAGAGCAAGAAGGTCAAAGCCAGGCGGGTTTTAATTGGACTCACACAATTCCGCACTAAATTCTAAAAAATAGTTCCAAGTTAAAAAGAACGAATATATCGATAGGCGAAGACTAACCAAAAGAAGTAGCTGAAACAGCCGGCGTTAATCGCTGCGCGAAGAGAAGGAAAATTTGCAATTTTAAAGTATAAGTTGATAATTAGAGAGTCCTCCACTAAAGAGGGCAATAAAACGTTCGATCAGCTTAGAAAAAGACCATTAACTAATTCACCCCATCTGCAAATGAATTAAACACAAAAATCTTTAAGGAACATAAAAGAACCAAACCAGATGTTACATGAAATCAAAAAATTGAACTAATGTCCAAGCCGCCTAGTACTTCGGGAAACAGTGCTGGGGATGCCAGAGCAAACACAGACACAGCAGGGAAAAATACATCTAAAAAGAAATCGCAATCATCAGTTGACACGGATTTGAATATATTGGTGTACAATATTCATGGCTTGAAGGATTAAAAGAATTAACAGAATTTTTTTAACTACCTCAAGAACTTCGAAATTATTTTCCTCTTTGAGACCTTCATAGAGGCTAAGGATCAAGAGGAAAATCATCAACCTTTCAAGATTTCCAGCTATTATGGATACCAGCAAGAGGCGAAATTTGGGAGAGCATCGGGAGGCCGTCTATATGGCATTAATGTAAGAAGTGTGGCAGTAAGGTATATTTCTTTTCGTAAAATTAAAAACATAGGTATGTTAACTGTTAAAACAAATAAATTCTTTATGCATATCTAACCAGTATAGTTAAACTATAATAAATGGAATACGCATTTCAACAGACCGTTTAATTTAGTAACAGATAGTAATGATTTAAACATTGTTATGACTGGTTTACGACGTTTATTATTTGTTTTCTTTTTTATTATTATCTCTTGTGGTAGATAAATTACATCATTATTATTTATTTTAACTTTTATTATTTCCATTTATTTTACTTTAGTTTATTTTATTATTGAGTTATGTGCATTATAGATAATGTGTGGTGATTAGTGACTGTTAATCGATAGTTCAGAAATCGTGAGATGCGGTCTGGTGTGATGTAGGTTTCAGAAAAACATTTTCTTTATCGTGCCAACGTTTCGATCTTTATTAAGATCATCTTCAGGGCTCAAAGTGTTTGTCTTCTGTGTAATTGTGCCATTCTTGCGTGTCGTGTTAAGAGTGCCAGTGAGTTGGCACGATAAAGAAAATGTTTTTCTGAAACCTACATCACACCAGACCGCATCTCACGATTTCTGAATAATTATAGATAATGATAAATAAGAGATGTACATATTTTCAATCATATTTCAGCTATTATTATATAATTATGTTCTATTATTACATTACTGAAATTTTTGAAGGAAGTATATATTCCTTTTGTAAATACTAATTATAATTACTTGTAAATACTAAGAAGAGAGATTTTAGTTATATAAGTTTATGTGCTAGATTCCTTCAAACGGTTTTAAACCATGAGGAACGTCTTTCTTGCTCTGTAATATTTTGCCGATTTGTAAACTTTGTATATATATATTAAAGAAAAAAGACATATAGTAGAAGTAATAAAATACTTTTATTAATAAAGCTGCTGACTGATACCACTTTTTCTCTTAAAATTATGCTTTGCACATCCTAATGACAGTCGGTTAAAAATCATTTCTTAATTTTGTTCTGGATTTCCTTTCAGTTGTGAAGAGCACCTAAATAGAAGTAAAACATCATCTTTCAGATTCAGGAGCGTGACAGCATAACCGCAATGTATGAAACCTGGTCGGCCGTCCTTCACGAGACTGAGTTTGATAAACGACCATACAGCCTAAAAAAATTGACCAAAGACCCTCGTCGAATAGAATATTCTATATAGCATTGGGCGAAATATTTCAGTGAAATTACGTTTTATTTCGCCGGAAACCGTCTTCCTGATTAATACAATAACTATTGTAATTGCAAATAAAAACACGCGAGATATCGGCATTAAGCATGTCGATGAGTTGGCAAACTTCGACCGGACGACCGGGACGAAATTAAAAATAGAAACACTGGGAAGTGTTGTTCGAAATCTTGACACTTCCGGCCCTTGTGAAATCGCGCTAACTTTTTAGGTCGACAGTTTCAAAAAGACATATGACAATTTATTGTATCGTACAACCGCGTTTCTTCACACTTGTTTTACTAGTTTTAGTCATGCTTCAGTAAATTTAAAAATTCTGGAACATTAAATTCACTAATTTCGTGGTCCGCTTGACCAATTAATATATAACAATTAATTATGGTTTTTAGTTGAGATAAAAAAGTCAATGGAACGAGCGGGATTCGAACCCACGATCTTCGGCTTGACACGCCGCTGCTCTACCACTTGAGCTATCGTGACCTCGATCCACTCGGACAGCAACTTCCCATCTCAACCCCACCTTTTGAATTTTTTCCCTCCTTTTTGACATTTTGCGGCATATCTAGCCGAAGATCGTGGGTTCGAATCCCGCTGGTGCCACTGACTTTTTTTATCTCAACTAAAAACCTTAATTAATTGTAATACATTAATTGGTCAAGCGGACCACGAAATTGGTGAATTTAATGATTTAAAATGAAGTATACTTCACTAAGCTCTCCGTGGCCATTTCATTTGTCGTCGAGAATCCAATCAGATTAAACGACATTTGAAAAATGGCAAAAAGGAGGGAAAAATTCAAAAGGTGGGGTTGAAATGGGAAGTTAGGGTCCGAGTGGATCGAGGTCACGATAGCTCAAGTGGAGCAGCGGCATATCTAGCCGAAGATCGTGGGTTCGAATCCCGCTCATGCCATTGAATTTTTTTATCTCAAATAAAAACCTTAATTAATTGTAATTCTGGAACATGTTAATTTTTGCACTTTTTACGAAAACTTCAAATTGAGGTGTGGAGCCTGGAAATAGTCCTGGAGCGGAGCCCTATAGCAACCGATAGGAAATTTTAATAAGCTTTTAATTGGCCGCCCTCCACTTCGCCCGATATCCCAACCATTTTCGAGTTATTCGCGATTTTTGGGCATAAGTGGTTTTTTACATGCTTAAGGAGAAACGGACCACTCACCTTCCCGATTTTACCAAACATAAAGCTATTGCTTCAACACGTCATAGCTATGCTTATACATTAACTCAATTTGAGATTTTTCGTAATAAGTGAAAAAATTAACATGCTCCCGATTTTTTTAATTTACTCATGAATCTCAAGGAAAATATTTTAAAAACCAACTCGTTTAGCGTAAAATTCTCTAAAAATGAGACCTGGCCCATGTCTCTGGGACTTGTATCGCTATGAAAATATGCATTACCAAATTTGGCCATTTTTTCGTGCAAAAACCAGCTGGTAGGTTTTTTGATAGGCAGTGTATGTGCACGCTTGTACAGCATCCATATTATTAAGATCAGCTGATCATTCTCCAAATCGTTAGATTGGTATAAATTGTGGTTAGGTTCTAAATTTTATAATTACAATTGGAAAGCCTCTTTCTTTCAATTCATTGAACGCAGAGTAATAAAAAACTGAATTTCTTGGAATGAAGGAATGAAATTATAAATTAAGCCGAGCGTAAGGTGATTAATTATTATAAGAAGCAATTAATTAGGAAGAGAGCTTAACAAAAACCTTTTATCGGTAGCGATTAGAGGCGATTGTGTCAAAAATAAAGCAGATTTTTTGGGGTGATTAGCAGCCGTGTAATTTAAAGCACCTAGATATAACGCTTTTGTTGGAAAAAAGGTCATTATCCAATTTTATTTATTTAATGCATTAATAAAACTTTCATTCGGTCAGTTCAACGTACTGCACATAATTAAGAGAAATATTATTCTTCGGGCCAGTCAAGTGGATCCCGGTTTCGAGTATATAAGCGAGTGCGGAAACCACCAGAGCATCAGTGTCTGCAAAACCATCCACCATGGTCAGTTCAATTGTATTGTCTTCGGGGATCTGAGTAGGAGAAAGTTGTTATATTAATTTAATAGAATTGTGGTGTGGTTGTGTTTTATTTCAGATTCGTGTGATCTCATGTCTGCTACTGGCCGCAACGGTACTCGCTCAGCACCATCACGAAGAGCAGCTGCATCACGAACATGAACACGAGGAACATGTAAGCGCTTTTCTTAGAAATAACTTAAAAATAAGTCAACACGATATTGCCAGAAGATATCTAGCGGAATATTAAGTGCCAAAAAATAATATTCATTTTTTAAATTTTCATTGATTAGGGCTTTTATTAAAAAAAATCTATTCTCATTGTGTAAAACACAATGGCCATTTTGATAATTCACATAGAAGAATCAATCATAAGGGCCAAATCATTTAATCTTTAATTACTGTTTCTAATTGTTTATTAGAAATAGTACATATTAGAAATTGCCAAATTTTTCTTGCTGTAAAAAAGCACAACGTTTACATCACATTAATAAAATGTAACACAATCATATTCTGTAATCCATTTACGTTTTGGTGGTCAATTGACCAAGTTATTTCTTTCAATTAATTATTCTTTCTATGTAAAGTCTTGGTTGAGATAAAAAAGTCAGTGTCACGAGCGGGGTTCGAACCCACGATCTGCTCTACTACTTGAGCTATCGTGACCTCGATCCACTCGGACACTAACTTCCCATCTCAACCCCACCTTTTGAATTTTCTCGCCTTTTTGCCATATTTCCATCTCAAATCTTTTTTCACCTGAACATTCACTTCACACAGAAAGAATAATTTTCTATAATATTAGATTACATATTACATATAAGATGTGTGTTCTTATACAGAAGTTTTTAATATCCTTTGTTTCTAGAGTTACAACGAGTCTAACAAAATAAACGATACCTCTAATAAAATTAAAATAGGAATAAGTGAAACAAAGATCTATACACTTTCTAAAATTCTGCCGATTACCAAGTAACACTATGCTAAATTTTATATGATAGTACTAGAAGTAGTTCGATTTATGGGACGCAAGGTAATTAAGAAATACTCAAAATTATTATAAGAAGATTAGAAAACGTAATATATGCTAACGTTTTTATATTTGCATAACGTTGTACTGTAAATAGAAAACAATATAAAGGGTTAATAGTAAAAAAATGTCCGCTTTTAAAATTTTGTTTCTGCTTAAATCCATCAGTAAATGTATTGTTAAGTTAATTATCAGGCTTTTCAGTATTTCCAGTGATTCATATTACGATAAAATAACTATAGTTTAGTAATTCATTATTAATAGTATGTTTTGTACAACATGCAGGATATTTTTAGGGACCGTAAAACAGAGTTGTGAGCTAGAATTTGAAAAAATATTAGCAACTTTACGCGAAAAAGTTATTTAAAAAAATAATTATAACCATTAATTACTAAAAAATTGAAACTTCTATTTATTAAGGTTGACAGAGAACGCTGGAAATAAATTTCAATTAATTAAGGTTTTCAGTTGAGATAAAAAAGTCAATGGCACGAGCGGGATTCGAACTCACGATCTTCGGCTTGGTACGCCGCTGGTCGACCACTTGAGCTATCGTGACCTCGATCCACTCGGACACTAACTTCCCATCTCAACCCCGCTTTTTAAATTTTCCTTCCTTTTTGACATTTTAAATACATTGAATTTTTGAAATATATTAATTGGTCAAGCGGACCACAAAAACTAGTGAATTTAATAGGCTGAAAATAAAATTAAAATTAGCTTTATGTCCTTAAATGATGTGGGTTCGTATCTTTATTTTAATGGACCAATTCAGAACGAAACAAGTTTATAAGGTCAATAAACAAACAAACAAGATGAAAATATAAATCTTAGTTTTTAAATGTCTTCTTTGGTGCTAAAATGCAGCAGTAATTTCATCTTTGTTTATATATTTATTTAGAAATCGTGAGATGCGGTCTGGTGTGATGTAGGTTTCAGAAAAACATTTTCTTTATCGTGCCAACGTTTCGATCTTTATTGAGATCATCTTCAGGGCTCGAAGTGTTTGTCTTCTGTGTAATTGTGTCATTCTTGCGTGTCGTGTCGAGAGTGCCCACTTTGTTTATATATATAATTTTTTTTTTGCGGTACGTTTGAATATTTGTAGGATCGGTATAACGCGTATATAACAAAGTACGCGTTCAGTAAGGTACCTAATTCCTAATTCAATCCAAATTGGAAAAAAAACGTTAACATTTTTAAAGGAATTTAAAATATTATTACACTTTAATAAAAATAGTGTTAAATAAAAGATGCTATATAAAATTGACCTGCACCGTTGAAAATACAGGCAATGGTATTTACGCGTAGGTGTGCGAATATTTGTTTCATCCCATCGTATTTTCCATAAATCTTGTGGCACATAATTTATTCCTTTTATACAGTACAGAATTTCTTAAATAACATTTTAGCATTTAAATATAATAACTTAGTATTTATTTATATGATATTTTTATGAATATTAAATAAGAATTTAAATTTGAAAACTGTAAGGGAGTTTTCAAATTACAATTATTTTGGATATGTCAACATTCAGTTTTACAGAAATCGATACAATTTTACAAAGGGCTTAATAAAATTTTGCAAATTTTTTTAAATGTAAATAAACTGATATCGAGTCAATTTCTACAAAATGTGAGCGAAATCTGTGCAATTGTGCTTATCATATTTGGTCATATTCTAAATAAGTAAATATAAGATATATTGTGAAGGTTTTTTGTTCGATGTCGTACCTCTTTGGAGTTCAGGAAAAACAACTATTTCTGAAATGCGCCAAGCTTTCGTAAATTATATTAACATCATCAGGCAAGACTGATGATATTAATATAATTAAGGAAAGCTTGTCTCAGTCCAGAAATAGTTTTTTTTCTGTTTCCTGACCTACAAAGAGATATAATATCCAGCAAGAAATCAAGGATACTGAATGTCGATTAAAAAAAAACCATTAATTATATTTTTAAGTTAATATAAAGTGAAAATACGGTAGCTTTTATTATTTGCCAAGTTTACACAGCTCGCATTAACACATTCAGAATTATCGTAATTAAGTGGTTTACTGAAAGCACGGAATAATAATTCTTATCTTTGGTAAAGCATGCACCAATTGTTTTTGGACATTTCGAAATCCAGTTTTAGCATATGTGATTCGTCGCTGATATTAAAATGATTATATATATTATCCAGTCAATTTCGACATTGACAGAACCCCAATGTCGGGATGTACATGTTAATGGAATTTATCATAAACCCTCTCGGCCGGTTTAAAACCGTCCGTCCGTTTATATTTACGTACATTTGATTGTCGTTCGGATTAGCTGTTTTAAAAAAAGTCGACCGTCAGCCAGAAAGTGTGTGTAATAAATCCGTGAGATTTATTACATCGCAGAGGAAAAAAGGGAAAGGATTTCCACTTGCGGATTATAAGAGAAAAGATGAAATGACATCAAAGAAAAATCGCATACCTAGTCGGATGCTCTTATTTGAATCAGAAAGCGCGAGGAAGTGTTACGTTCACGGAGAGTGATTTGTTTTAATTCAATATTCAACATGTTTAATTCATTTGGTTATTATTGTGAATGTGATGATAATGTATTCGAAGAGAACTGTGCCGATGATTTCGGTAAAAAGGATTTTATGATCCGAACCGCTGAAGTTGAACTCCGTACTCCGTGAAAAACTGCATCTCTTCAATTTCGAAATAATTATTTATTGAATATTAAATAGTAATCTTAATTAATTAATTTGTATTTAAGGTATTGGTTGAGTTAAAAAGTCAGTGTCACAAGCGGGGTTCGAATCCCGCTTGTGACACTGACTTTTTTTATCTCAACCAATACCTTAAATACAGATTAATTAATTGAAAGATATTATTTGGCCAAGCGGACCACAAAAACTAATGGAGGTATTAATTCAGAAATTATGGTTATTTTTAACTAGTTATTTTAAATATTGGATACATCTTTTTAGTAAATTTAAACGCCATATCTGCTTCATTAATTAATTGTATAATAGAGTTATTATTCATTAAGATATTTTTGCTGAAAATTTAGTTTTAGAAAAAAGGTATAGAACAATAAAAATATTTATGTTTTAATTGCAGCACGAGCCACATTACAAATTTGAATACAAAGTGGAAGATCATAAAACCGGGGACTATAAAAGCCACAGGGAAAGCCGAAAGGGCGACAAAGTCGATGGATACTACATGCTGAAAGAAGCGGATGGCACTATTAGAGAGGTTCACTACACAGCTGATAAACACGCCGGATTCAACGCGGTTGTCACTAAATCAGGCCACCCACACAAAGAGGAACACGAAGCTAAGGAAGAACACCACAAAGGAGGTCACGCCGTTCACTACGGACACGTCCACGAAGTGCACAAACCAGTGCATCACGAAAAGGAAGAACACCATCTTGAATTCAAGCCGTACGTAGTGTCTCATCATCATTCGCCTTCGGTACACCACGTCCACAAGGAAGTCGCACACGAAGAAAAAGAGGAAGAGGGCGAAAAGCACGAAGAGAATTCCGCGGCGTCTATCGCCAACTTCCGTCACGCTTTCCGTCCTCAGGGGGCTATGCAGTACCACTACGAGCAGCCCCAATACGAGATCCAACACTACGACCGACAGTACCAGCATGGTGAACAGGTGAAACGTGACCTTTATTACAAACGCCATCAATACCGCGGCGGCAATTCTGAAGATCGAGGCCAAGGTAGACAGAAACACAGCAATTACCAAGTCATGGAAAACGTGCGCAATTAGTGCGCGAACTAGGTGCCACTGGCCTTATTTCATAGATCTATATTTGTTGACTAATTTTTTAACTTTAATTATTTACTTAATGAAGAAAAAATAAAATATTTCCGACATGAAAATGGTGATTTTTCATTATACACGTCCTTTCCTAGTATAAGTATTTATTAAGTAACATTATCACGCGTTACTAGTATCTTCCTGTCTTCAGTTACAAACTTACAAATACCTAAACAAAAACATTCAATAAAAAAAAATTACAATTTTATTAACAATTATTCAGAAATCGTGAGATGCGGTCTGGTGTGATGTAGGTTAAAAAAAACATTTTCTTTATCGTACCACGTTTCGATCTTTATTGAGATCATCTTCAGGGCTCAAAGTGTTTGTCTTCTGGGTCATTGTGCCGTTCTTGCGTGTCGTGTTGAGAGTGTTTATTAACAATAGGTCATGTTATTATTGACCAGTCCATGAAGCAATTTTCAACTTTAAGTTTAAAAACATTTTGTTTTAATACAGAAATTTAAAATCAGAAAGCCATGTGTAACAGAGTGTAATACCAGAGTAGTAGTACTTAAATCAGTATTACCAATGAAACCGGGCTTACTAATCAAGTTTGATGATATAGGACACACCGGCGTGCTATAAACACAGAACGCGGTATACAACAGCTCTTAAAAGGCGCAGTTTAATACCCACCCGACTAATACATCTACATCTAAATTTTAATTTATCTTTTTTTTAATTGCTTACAATTTCAAGAAGGAAATTAATTATAGATTTTTATGAAGAAGTGATTTACTAAAGAAACCATAGGGGATTTTTTAGTTTTTAAATTTTTTTTTATCTATCAACTTTGTGAACAAAGCCAGATGTGTAGTTGTAAAAGAAAATTTTCTTTTGGATTACTAGTTACGTCTATAAAGTTGGGAGAATGTGTGAGAAAAAGACAGAAACACAAAGATTCAGGGTGCTGAAAGGGAGAAAGGAAAAGTGAGGGTGAGTAAGAAAGAGAAGTTCTAACAATAGTGAAGTTTAAATACAGCTTGTTGTCTTTATTCTACAACAANTAATTAGTATGTATTGCGAATAAATTTTTTTATTTAACTCGTGAGTCTTCAATTTGTTTACTTTAATACTTGACCATTTTATTGCCAAACATTAACACGAAGAAGTATCATTGAATTGGACTGTAATAATTGCATAAAACGACTTGTACTTCCTTTATTCCGAAAGTGTTATTCCCTGTAAATATTGGTGCTCGCGATATCACGTCCAAGGCTAATTGAAGCAATTTTTGCCGTGTCACGAACAAAATGTGAAGCCTCGTGTTTTCAAAGTCCTTGCGGTAGCTGACATCTTGAGTGGTAAACTGAAATATTTCCCATTCAAGATTGAGATTATCACCTTGGCCATTTCAGAGAAAAATCTCAACTGATGATGCCAAACTTCGCAGCTACGCCGGGCGCGTTTATTTGTTTTTAAGCTTCCCATTTTTGGCGAATGGTTTTAATGTTGAGTTTTACTGAATTGTGATTTCTGTTTTTATTTTTTAAGTCATACGGTTTTTTTTTTTTTTAGTTTTAGCAGAATTCTCTCTTGCTGATAACCCACCTGCTAACCGAAAAGGAACGATCGAGCACGTTGTAAATCCATTCCATTTCTCAGCTTTTCACCATACACTTTATCACCGTCGAACAAACGATTTTTCCTCGTTTGTTCACTTCGGTCTATGATTTGGAAAAAGCGACAAAAAATAATTGGAAATTTTTTAATTTTTCAAATGTCAATTAAAAATTTATATCTTCAGAATGGATGATTTTATGTAAAAAGACAATATAATTATCTTCAAGACCCTCTTAGCTTACTCCTCTCATATTTTAATGTTATATACAAACAATTTTGCTGCAATTACGAAAAATCATGTTTTTATATGTTGTGGTTGTTAATCCATTCCCTTCTCTCTCACTTCGTTCTCACTTCTCGTATACACTTTTTTTACAAGAATCCGATCTGCCACAGATGGACATGTTCCATTTTCTTATGTTTTTTTATAGTCTTTTCGAGCTTCATTCTATTGTTTATTTTTTTGTATATAAATGTTACATTTACTTGTATAAACTATGCCTAACAAAATTATCTTATTCGTAAATGAATAAATCAAATATTCACTTGCAAATAATATTAATCTAGATAGATATACTTGATGGAGTGGTAGAAAAAATTGTACCATGTTTATTAGTGGAATTTTATAATTATTGGCTAAATTATACATTAAATAGAACTTTTTATTTAGACATTATCCAAACAGAGTGCTTTCCTCGACGAACAGAAAATATTAATTGTGCCCATAAGAACTCATACTATTTTTGTTTGACATGTCTACCTATTTTGCTCTTTATTTCGCCATTCGTTCCCATATACATTTGCTTACATAAGCTTTTTTATTTACAATCATGAATTCTTCTATTTTGACATCCGCCAATTATAATTTACAGGGTGTCTCTCCATTCAATGCATTAACTTCATCGGCAAATTCTACGCACAAAATTAAAAAAAGAAAAAACATAAATCATGGTGCGATTCTCAACCCTTTCCCAGATATTCAACATTTTATGTTTTTATCATCTATCTACGGTTTCCGTTATAAATCTACTTGTACCTTTTGCACTATTTATTTTGAAAAGCATAAAAAAGAAACAAATCAACGTAAAAATCAAACAAAACACAAAATAGCGAAACAATAAACACGGAGGGGCGTTGGTGGCCGCAACGGTTTAGGCGTTGACACAGTGCTCATCACTGTAAGGTAGAGGTCCCGAGTTCGAATCCAGCCGCCATGCATTCGAGCCCGACATACTTACAAATGGTCTTTTTTTCAAAAACTCCGGCACCCCGAGGGTTGATATAACCTCTGCTGTTGCGAACCCTCGTAAAAAAACTACTTTGAATTCTCTTCTTCTTTCGTTTAGTTTGTTGTAGATATTTTGTCCTATTTTTCTACCTTGGTAGCTATGTTTCTTTATTATGTTTTTGTTTGTTTTTGAATTAAATTCAAGTTGAAAAATGAATTTTGCTCAGGACAAAAAGTTGAAATGTTATTAACCCGATTCTCCTTTTCACACCGTCGTCATATTTTTCCCATTTAGCGTACAATTTCTACATTTGGTTCGATCTAATTAAGGAGAAGGTTAAACCTTAGAAAGCTTATTAAACGAACAAGGTTTTATGAAACCTGACATTCTCTACCGTGAATTTTTCCAATGAGTGTTGCAGATTTAATTTTTTGACTAATTTTAAATTTAGCGTGTTTAAAAAGATTTAGTGTTTTTTTTTTACTAAAACCTAAACTGAAAGTTCTAGAAAGGGACATTTTTAAAGCAAATATAACGGTGTTTGTAATGACTGTTTTGGTTTTCCACAAAAGGGAATATTTCATTTTTATTTATGACCAAAAATACAGATAATTGAAAAACAAAATGTTGAATATCTGCGAAAGGGTTGAGAATCTGACACTGATTTATAGATGTTTTTTCTTCCATTTGGGGCGTAGAATCTGCTGGTGAAGTTAATGAATTGATTACCGAGACACCCTGTACTTAGTCACATGCATGCATACGTTTTTAAAGAGATCTTAAACATTATTAGAACACAGAAATTAAGTAGTAACATAATTCTACTTTTTATATGCTAACTCAACTCCCTCAAAAAGCAATAATCTCCCGAGCTTATTAATTCAACGCTGACCTAAGCACTACGCAATTCTAATTCATTTGGTGTACCATATATTATTTTGTAACAAAACTAATCAAAACATTACTTCCTAGCTTTTACAAACCCATCAACCTTTTTGTTATAATAGGGAAAATTAGGGGAAAATTATTAAGTACGCATAACTACGCCTATATAATTAAATAACTTTCCAACAGTAAGATTTTCGTAATTGTTCGATTTAATTGTAATTTTTATTTCTACGAGTTACAGACGTAATTACCACTGTCCTCGAGCTGAAGCAGAACTGCCCTGGTGTTTTCTAAGACACATCTCAGGTATTTGACCGGGTTCCGCACCCGAATTTTCTGTAGAAGATCAAGAACATCTACCCACGATCAAATCTTACAGATCGTAAGTTCCAAGTTGTCCAAAACACTTCTTTATTCTCCATTTACTCACTTCTTCTGACTGGGTCCCGCAGGTCAGCGGACTGTAATCCTTCCTGTATAAAATTTACCCTGACGATTGCCCATTCATCCTAACACTTCCCCGTTTACCTTTGCCGATGATACTCACAACTATTTACTGACTCTAAACGTGGCAAAAAAAAAAAAAAATAAATACCACCCTCTTCTATATTTCAAACATGTTCATATTCCCGTTTCGAACCACGTACGATCCCACGAAAATTTCACTCGACAAACGACTTACGCTAAATCCCTGTACGAGACTGAAATACAAAGATTATAATATCCCACCTGGTAAAAATACTACAAGCGATCTAAACTTAAATTCTAGATTTCTTTTCTTTACTGGTTCGTTTTTATTAATAGATTATTTGGAGATCGTGAGATGCGGTCTGGTGTGACGTAGGTTTTAGAAAAACATTTCTTTAGCGTGCCAACGTTTCGATCTTTATTGAGATCATCTTCAGGGCCTGCGATTTATAAACATTGTTTAAATTTAACAAATACATGCAGGATGTGGAAAAAGTAAATTTATACAATGCCAGAAAATTTTCGTTTAAAAGAAAAAAAAATGAATTTATACAATGCTAGAAAATTTTAGTTTAAAAGAAAAAAAAATGAATTTATACAAATCTAGAAAATTTTAGATTAAATAATAATAATAAATTCATTTTTTTTATATCTAAAATTTCTAGCATTGTATAAATTACTTTTTTTCTTTTAAACTAAAATTAATTTATACAATGCTAGAAAATTTTAGTTTAAAAGACAAAAAAGAATTTATACAATGGTAGAAAATTTTAGTTTAAAAGAAAAAAATGAATTTATACAAGGCTAGAAAATTTTATATTAAAAAAATGAATTTATACAATGGTAGAAAATTTTAGTTTAAAAGAAAAAAATGAATTTATACAAGGCTAGAAAAT